AAAAGGTTTTAAAAAACCCCAGTTAAAACTACTTAAAAGTTCACATTCATGTGGAATTTGGTTAAGCTTTCTTCAGAGAAGAAGCAAAGTGTTAGGGTGTTCAGGCACTGGAACAGATTGTCCAGGGAGGAGGTGGAGCCACCATCCCTGGATCTGGTGCTGGAGGATATGATTTAGGGTTTAGGGGTTATAGCAGTGACAGGTTAATGGTTGGACTTGATGATCTTAGAGGTCTCCTCCAACCTTAATGATTCTGAGATTCTAAGTAATTACACATTCTCTCTTTTAATTACTAAAAACAGTATTTGTGTTAAAGGAATCAAATTCTCAAGTTGGGTGGTAGATCAACATGAAAATACATTCAAAATAGAAGTATTAAATACAACAGGAAAGAGAACCCTGACATTTTCCTTAAAGTATATTTTGTTCAAAGTATGATCTATTGAAATAGTCAAGCTGCAGCTGAAGTACCCACACACATTGCACACAGATGCACTCCCACACACAGAGATATAGGCCCTTCTTTAAAGGGCATTAATTACTATGGCAACTACTGTTGCTGATAGAGGCAACTCCATTTATTTTATCCCTAGAAACACCAAAACTCCATGACATTTGTAAATACAGTTCATAATTCAGTTTTATCCTACTTTATCCAATGATTACTTGAAATCTACCACCTTTAGAAAATATACTGAACGCATATACAATACAGACTGTCATACAAAGAAACATAGTGAAGATCTGCACACAGACTTTTAAGTAACTCACAGCAATTTCAGAAGGCTGAAATACATAAACACCAGAAATACAGGAAAGGATGCTTTGCTGTCCTCCTGTATCCCACACTGCCTGAAAATAGCAGTGTGGAACATATTCAGAAACAGATCCCCCACTCAAAAAAATATTTTTTTGTACAACATACTTGGCTTCCAAAACACCAAACACCTGCTAAACAGGGGCTCAAATACAGTAAGGCTGATATACAGAATCACAAGCCAGAGTTTGTTTCTGTGTTTTCATACAACTTAATAATATCTCTACACCATTAATTAAACATTACAATTTGTTAAAATATACAAGATATATTAAAAGAACCAAATTTTAAAAAGGATAAAAAAATCACCCTTCAAAGTGCTAATATAAGTGTGGCCCATGCAACCTTGTAATAATTCAAATTGTACCACACTGTACATACACAGAAATATATACACACACATGAATTTACATATTGTTCTACTGCACCTCTGCCCTGTTCAGTGCACAGAACAATTAAGAAACAGTTATTCAATATTTACCGTGTTTTTCCCAATGCATGATCTGACTTCTTTTTCTAATATTCACCTCTATCTCCAAATAAACAGAATAACCACAATGTCTCTTCTGTAGCACTCAGTGTCGCAGAAAAAAAAAAAATCAGTATCTTAAAAAACCCTAAGAAACCCTTTTTTTCATAGACTGGAAGTCAAGTCAAGTGAATCAGATTCACAAAGTTATATAGTTGGAAGACTTAGTAAATTTTCGTTTCTCTGCCCTTTGTAGACTATACTGTACTTAGTCTGCTGAGGTTTTTTGGCACAGTTGCTCCAAGTTTGATCCCATCAAATCTGCTGCTGTCCTACCTCAGGCTCCTTGTCTCAGACCTCTTCTCTTTGCTCTAATTCCATGATCCAGGACACTCAGTTGAATATCCTTGCTAAGCCTGACAAGTCTTTTAGACTCTTACCTCCTCTGTGCCAACTTGTCCCACTTCCTATCCTCCTCTCATTTTCTTGTCCAATCTGCACTGAAGCATCCCCAGCAGTTCCACTAGCCAACCTCTCTATCCATCCTTGTCTGAGATACCAGTTCCCCACAGCTACCAACATCCCACCTTAAAATAGCCCCATGACTCCTTTGCCAGCTCTCTTGTCCCAGGCCCTTCTTCCTTTCCTTAACCAGTTACCCAGCCCCTCCTACCCCTCAAGCGTTATGCCTTTTTTTCCACCTGCTCTTTTAATTCTCTATGGGTTCCAGATCCCTTCACTAGAAATCATCATCTCAGCAAAGAATTATTGCTCTCATCTTGGTTACACTACTGTTCTTTAGTAATTCAAATACACATTAGCCCTTTCTGCTTCTCTTTTCTACCCTGCTTGGGTGATAACAGAAGATCCTCAAAAGCAAAGGAGAGAGAAGCTTCCCCTTTTCCTTTCACCATCTAGTCTGACCAGTTCCTGAGCCCTGAAATTTGTCCTGCAGCACACTCACTCTGCAAAAAAAGAACAAGGTGCAGTATGGTCACACTTGCAGCTAAGAGGCTCTGAAGTAAGAGATTATAACAGCTCAAGACTATTTCTTATATATATATATATATACATACACTATAATATGGTAGCTATACATATATAGCTATATATACTATACACAGTAGCTATTTGTACCCACACAAATTGCTATTATTCAGAGGGTCTACTAATCTGCATGAAATTTCATAGCTCTCCATAGGGGAAATAAAATATATACAGCAGATTAAAGCCATCTTAACAGATTTGCAGACCTAGCTCCGAATCATTAATTAAAGCATTCCATATAAAATGTCCCAGTAACTTAGTGAGGCAGGATCATTTTACCAGGCTTTTTTTCAGTAAAGTTCAGCTATTCTGAGTTAGAATCTTCCTAAAAATTATTATTTTAGTCCAAGGGAGCCACTCTGCATAGAAAGGACCGAAGCCTCTGAACAGGAAGAGTTACAGGCACTTAAGAGAGCTAATTTTCAATGGGAAGCAAAGACAATTAACAGAACAAATACATCTTTTTCAGTCACACTTACTTTGGAGCTGCAAAAGACACCTAAGAATTTGTGTTTCCACTAGTTCACCTGCTTTCTTATCATGTTTGTGTCAAAATACAGTTTAACTTACCGAACATTTTCTGGTCTCAATTTATCCAGAACCATCTCTATTAAATCAGGCCTGAATTCTTCAAGCAAATACTCAGCAGCCAATACTTCTTCTATAGGATAATACTAAAAAACAAAGCCCAGAAAAATGTAGATGAAATAAACAAAACTAAGCATGACAAAACTATGGTTCTGTAAAGGAAACAAGTGTCTACCTTTGGTCACTAAATCTGTATTACCTTGATCATTTTGAATTAGAAGTTTGTAGATGTTCTATGTACTTTCTCTTTAAACTAAGCAAGATGGAGCAGTATCCTAATTATTAAACCATATTTCTCATATATTAGGCAATTTTACATACTGCATATTTACCATTCTTTTCTCTTGAATTACTTTATGTCTCAATCTAAAAAGTCACCCATCCTCAAATAGTATTTTGAAGTAACTAAAGAAAAAAAAAAAAATGTAAAATGTAAATGTAAAAAATAACATGGCAAATGCTGACCCCTGCAGGATATTTTTAAAGACAGAAAAATAGCAAGGACTCAGAGTGCTTTTGGGAAAAAACAAAACATAATAGCAAAACCAACCAACCAAAGATACAAAAAACCTACCACCACCAAAAAAACCACTAAGTGTTTTTAGGATCCTTTAAAAATTCAATTCTTATTTATGGCAATTTAAAGGGAAGTGTATTTCAATGACCTAAAAGCATAATACAAATTTGAACACTTTTAATTCTAACATTTTTCACGTACGATGAAGCTGAAAATCTCTTAAGGTACATGCCAATTTAAGAAGAAAAAAACAGTTTAAATCCCTCTAAAAACCACTGGTCTAGTTGACAGGAAAACTTTCCTGATAAACACCTGTTTACCAAGGGAAAGTTACCAGGTGACACAAGCACTTGCAGTTTGCCACACAGGCGTACTTTTTTTGACCATAGTTATTGCAAAAAGTCTTTCTGAATTACATGCATCATGCAAAAAAACTCCAGTGGAATGACTTCCAGAACACAGAGTAACTCACAAAATGAATTCTGGGAAAGGGAAAGGGCTATGGGGATGGAGACCAAGGACACTGAATCAAACATTCAGATGTGAATGCTAAAGATCCAGAGTTTGAAACTCATTCTGCATAAATGGCTAAGTAACTTGAAGGGAAGATTCGAAGTAATCTATGCACTTCTAATGTTAAATTAGCAAAGAAATGCAGATTGAGTGACCAAAACTATATAATTTATTTACTTTACAAACACTGCTCACCAACTGGAACAGAACATAAAACTTATTTGGTTACTTAGTTCTTGTATGGCTTGAGCAGGAGAGCTGGACAAGGTGACTTTCAGAGGTCCAGACCAACCTCAACCATTTTGTGATTCTGTGATACTTTTCAGCAAGGTCAGAGCATAATGAAACTGAAACAGACTAAAATGATCTAGATACAATGTTTAAAATGAATTTGTAAAAATGATGTAATTAAGGAGACAAAACAAAAGAAAAGAAAAAGGGCACTGAAAACCAGGGAACAACTATCTGGAAAACACCAAGACAAATATGAAAAACACAGGACAAATATGAAATGTAGTTTGACAGCAAAACCTTAGTGGTGATGTCTCAGAGCAGCACAAATGTGTTTAAAGATGAACTTCTGATTTGCTGAATTAAAACATCTTCTTTGAATCCTTTTGGTAAATACATAACAACTGAGGACATTATATTTACTCATGCTAAGACATACACAGGTTCTTCTTCAAGTCTTGAGAAACAGGATTATTTGTAAGCACATGAAATCACCAAACAACAGCTGGTTCATTCAAAGCATAATCTTTGCATGACTCAGAGGCAATAAAGAGAACTAGAGAAGGTATTTTTCTATCAGTGTTTTAGTAACTTAGAGCAGAATCAGAATTAGTATTCATACTGCCAAGCACAGTAAAAGAAAGGCAGTGGGAAAAGAGAGAGTCCTGAATCAATACCCTGCTCTTTGGAACACTGCTGGCAACTTCCTGGCCTGATTTTTGGTGACAGCAATTGTAATCGGAAATGATCCAACAAACACAACCCACTAAAAGGCTGTTTCAGAAGTCCATGTGTTAAAGAGATTTTAGGCAGTTGACAGTACAAATGCAAGAAACAGCATCCCAAACAGGAGCTCTTTAGATATCCATTTAAGTGTTTTGATTTGTCTAACGCTTTTAGTAAACACAAAGAAAATTCTAAAACTAAAGATGATTATTTTAGACTTTACAAATTAAAGTCTAAGACCATTAACAGGAATTCCTGCAGAGAAACTAAAAATGTCTGAGTAGATGTAGACATTAGCTATGCAAGGAAGAATGACTGCAATGGATAAAAGTTACATTACTTCACTCAAAAAAAACCCAAAACCTGCCAAAATCTTCCTTTAGTGCAAAATGAGGGAACTGACTTTGGCAGACAAAGTAAAAGCTACAGGATGATTCTTTCAGTACCAGTACATACTCACATTAGTAAAGTGATTTATGTTCATAAAGTGACTTCACTACAGTGATAAACATTTGTAATTTGCCAATTTAGTACAAAAATTTCTGCTTATTGCAGTATTTCAGCATTGTTAACTATGGCACATAGTGCTTGTGTATCTCCCTAGAGAACATTTAGCTATCAGGTAGACACAGAATGACAAGGTACATGACTTTAGAAACACTGAAACGAATCAAACAGCAACTCCAGTTACTGTATAATCAGTTCTACCAAGTATAGAAGTATAAAATGGTAGAGTGAACAGAATGTGACTTACTGACTGCCAAAACTGAGATCTGTGCAGCCTGGTATTAGCTTCCTAAGCACAAGTGCAAAGGACCTTTGCAGGTGCCTGTATTTATTAAGAGTATAATCAAACATGCTGCTAAATGACTATTTAAAAACCCAACAACCAAATCAAACCAACCTCCCTCTACTTACATGCAGCATTCCTCCAAGCTTTGATGTGTAACCTCGTGGTCGCTCTTTATCTTTAAATCTGAATGCCACAGCATTGAGATCCTAGAAAACAAGGTATGAATGATTGAAGAGCATAAATTAAAGCCTATTCCAAGAATAATTACTGGCTACTTAATTCCTTTTTTATAATGAAACAAAAGGAAGTACTTTTACTGTATCCATGTTAAAGCAGTTAGACAGGTACCCAACACCAGTTCTCAGTAACATTCAAGCTGTGCAAAACTCACAAGCTGTGTGGGATAGTCTCAGAATGTGAAGTGTTACACAAGTCTGGTACCACTCGTTCTTAGTAAGAGATTTTGTCCCATGCCTCATATATTTAAATTTCCTGATATTTTGAAAACACCCCAAATCTGATATAACAAATAACCAATGTTCCAGTGCAATGTTTGCTGCATGTTAACGAACTGAAGCCTTTCCCTCTGCCTTTTTTGTTCCTTTTGTTCAGCCAGACAACAGGCAAGTTTTGAGACAGAAAAAGTATGTTTCTTCATGCTGTCTTAGCCACAGAAATAGAACACAACATTCTTTGGATACAATGGCAAGGGTGAATTAAAGAGACCTAAGACTATAAAGCCAGTGAAAAGGACAGTCCATCTTCCATGAAACTATGCACAGAGTCTGATTAATTCAACAATTCAGCTGAAAATAAACTCAAGAGATTCTTTTCATACTAGTTTGCCAGCACTCTGACTCACCCCACAGCCTCAAGAATGCTGGGGCTGACACAGGAGGAGCAAGGGAAAGACACGGGGATGAAACATAAGGATGGAACTACCTCTTTCAAATCTTGTATTTGCTTACAGTGACAGCGAAACAAATCCATTGGGACTTTTACAGGGAGGATAAAGAGACTTCAGACTTTTTACATGTATACAGGGTCAAGGTATAAGAAACAAAGCTAATCCAGCTGCAGAATTTCTACTCTTAGAAGAGACTCAAGAGTTTTCACCAATTAAAGATAAGATGGAATAAGAAATCTTTACCCAAGCATATGTAGTGAACCAATGAGACTACATATATGAACAAAACTGGTTTTATTTCACACTGACACTAAGTGCAGTACTAATAGGATACTTTACATTTTTGCTCTGTGCATACAGAACCATCCAGACTTGTAAGAAGCATGAACAGTTCAGCAAAGACTGAAGTATACAAAGTACTCACCCTTCAAAAAGATGAAGGAACAAACAGCAGATTAAATGTCCTATTGCCTTTACAATCTCAACTATACAATCTGACAGGTGAGAGAATGGCAGAATCACAGCCATTTTGATTTCCAATTCAGTGTTACCCCTCACAGTAAATGCTTCCCTGCCTCCTCCTGCAGTGAAGGCTAAAGAAGGTCATGGAAAATCCTTGTGCATAGAGCAAGATCCTTTTTCCATCACCTCCACTGTGCTATCATACCTCACAGTTCTATTTAGAACATTTCACATCTATATTAAGACAATATATTCTGTCATGTTGCACCTCCACAATTAATAAACTTCACTACCATGCCATTACTAAAGGCAACTTAAATAGTCAAGGGATCAGTTACTACTTATAATAGAAAAAGAATTGTGAAATATGCAGTACTTGTATTTTTAAGTGCCAATTACTTACCTTGCACTCTTGGAAAACCCATTCCTGAGGTCCTTCTGTACGTAGCTTTTGAATATATTGAAACATGTGCAAAATAATATCTTCAACATGCACTGGAAAGAAAAAATACTTAATTCACGCAGTTCTGCACAAAGAAGAAATTATGATGAACACAAACGTGTATGGTTTTATTTTTAGTTACACCGTGATACACAAAGAAATGTAAGTATATCTGCAATCCCACCAGCAAAGTTAAACTTGCTTTTCTGAGACATGATTTTAAGATAAGTGTTTATGTCTCCAGCTAATTTTGAGAACTGCACTGAACATGCCTTATGTCAAGATACTGATTTATGTTATAATTTAACTTGGGTATAAACAGCATGAGTAAGCAGCACACAAAAGGTACCCACAGCTTTTCTTTTAAAGAAATTTATGTTGAAAATTTATTTAATTAATTAACATAATCCCATGGAAGCTGATATCTTATGTTAAGTGAAGAGTGTTAGTATACTGAGAAGACCTAAACACAAAAGAATAACCACTTAATTAAAATAAATTGGCTTTTAAGATATAGTCACAATTAGTCTCTTTGGATCACCAACCCATCCAATCAGGAATAACAAGGAATGCACACAAAGTGCTTCACTTACAAAGTCCTTCCTCTGTCAAGTCCACATTAATGATGAAAAACATGAAACCTCTAGCACCTTCCTTCTGGCCTCCAACAAGAGTGTTTACCCATCCTATGACATCAAAAAGAAACTCTATTACATAAACGAATCTGTAACACTTTATGCAACTTTTTGTATGCTTCAGCAACATCTTAGCTATTTTAACACATTTTGATTCATTTACGTGTTCTCCTTCACTTCCTTAATACCAACAGCAACAGTGCAGGTTAAACACCACACGAGTCAGACCTATCTGGTTTTGGTACTCAGAGAGATACGACAAACTCAAGATCATTTGATTGCTGGGTAATTTAATTCTGTTTGGAACAGAGTAATAAAATGAGAAATAGCAAAAGATACACCCTTGTAGGCTTCCAGACATTAAGGGACCTGACAGTAGTCTCAGAGTCAGGGACAGGACAGAGACAAGATCTTTATGTCAGAGCTCACGTAACTCTCTAAAAAGGATGGATAAAGGGGAGGGGCAAGAAGTAATACCTTCAGCAGTCTGCGTGTCTGTTAACTATTTATTTTTACCTGCCACAGAAACAAAAATAAAGCACAAAATGACAATTCAACCTACTCAAACAGCTGAAGGCTTTAACATGCAAAGGTCAATTTTAAGTGAAATGTAGCTAAAGTTTAAAAATGGTATGATCAAATATTTTTTAGCTCTTTACCTTTAAAGGACTTACCTTTGGCTTTAAGCTCTGATAGAAGACTTCCTGGGCCTTCATGCCCAATCAGATGACCAAGGTAATGGCCAGGGTTTGATTTATAGTACTTCTGAAGGTCTGGGATGGGAAATGTGACATAAAGATTTCTAATATCCTTAATGGGTACCACTTTGTAAAGTTGCTGAGGGGGGAAACAAACAAGGAGACCCATAAACAAAGGGAAACTAGTTTATTTTGTTTATCTCAGGAGCACACAAAAACATCAAAGTTGGAGGAGACCTCTACGATCATCATTAGCCTGTCACTCTGATGTAACCCCTAAGTCCTAAACCATATCCTCCAGTGCCAGACCCAGACACCTCTTAAACACCTTCAGGGCTGGTGATTCCACCACCTCCCTGGGCAAACTTATTCCAGTGTCTGACCACTTAACAGGGAAAACATTTCTCCTCACATCTCCTCTGACTCTGTCCTGGCTCAGCTCAAGGCCATTCCCTCTAGTCCTCTCCCTGCAGCCATGGCAGGACAGACCATCCCCCACCTCTCTCCAAGCCCTGTCAGGGAGTTGCAGAGAGCCATGAGGTCACCCCTGAGCCTCTTCTCCAGGCTAACTAACCCAACTCCCTCAGCCCTTCCTCATGTGCTCTAGCCCTTTGCTGCCCTCCTTGCCCTTGGCTGGACTCGCTCCAGTGCCTCAATGGCCTTTTTGCAGTGAGGGGCCCAAAGCTGAACACAGCACTGAGCTGTGAGCTCCCCAGTGCCGAGTCCAGGGGGATGGTCACTGCCCTAGTCCTGCTGCCACACTGCTCTTGAGCCAGGCCAAAATGTCCTTGGCCTTCTTGGCCACCTGTGCACACTGTTGGCTCACACTGAGCCACTGCCACCAGCACTGCCAAATCCTTTTCTGACCAACAACTCTTGAGCCACTTCTCCCCCAGCCTAGTGAACTGCACAGTGTATTACTGAAACATAAAAACCATCATTTCAGGTATACACTCCTGATGGAAGATGTATCTCTATACATACCCGGAGATGTTCTTCTTGGAAAGGATGTTCAGGAAACTCTGGTATAGGAACATTTTTATTCTCCACTTCTGAAAATAACTTTACCACTAAGCAAGTCAGCTCATCTAAGGATTCTAGAATAAAGAAACATTAGAAAAAACAGTCATTATCTAAAGATTCTGGAAACTTGATTTTGGAATATTGTTTGGGGGAGACAAGAATTTTAGAGAAATGTAGTTTAAATGGTGTTATGATTATTAATTTTGGAAAAAAAATATATTCACATTTAAAATCTGAACTATGACATGCAGAACTATACAATTATAACAGAAGCACATGCTTATTAAAGGAAGGCCTCAATCATGATTAAAATAACTCCTGTAACTGAAAATAAATCTTTACATTTTACTGATAAATCTAAGCTAGAACTAAAGAAAATATACACACCAGATATTATAAATCAACATTCCAGAAAAAGTTAAAGGGACACGGAATTACAGCTGCAAATTTTCTGAAGTGAAGACATCTTTGCCAAAGCTTCTTCCACCCAAGCTCACATCCAGTCCTTCAGGTACACTGTGAGCCAGGGTCATGTCCTCAGCACCCAAAACACACACATCTGTGACCTGGTTAAGCACTTCTACTTTTACATCCACTCTAGTTTCAGCCTGTCACTGTAGTACTCTGCAAAAATGAGCAGCAGACCTTTCCCAGAGAGAATCTGATGTCGTGCATTAATTCACCTAAACTGAACTATACCATTTCTGTTGAAATGCTGCCTCCAAAATTGCTCTCTGCTTTAAGGAATGCATTTTGGAGCACTTCTCAGAGTGAGAATGAGATAAAAAAGACTCATCTGTCAATTTTTTGGCACACACCTTTCAAGGGTGGGCGTTAGAAGAAAAAACCAGGCGTTTCTTGGATGTCTCAAAGTACAACTTTAATCCTTGAAAGACTTCAAAAAGCAGTCACCTTGTGATCAAAACAATCCCTGTTAGATTGAGAAAGTAGAACCTTTCCTGTCCAACACATGCATGCTCCTGCACTACACTAAGAGACACGTACGGGGGGGAAAAAAAAGCAACACAACAGTGCAAACCAAGATGGTTTGCTGTGTAATAAAATGTTGTGAACTGTATGTAGTTCTATTAAAACCCACTGCTTTTTATTCACATCAGCAAAATACACATGCATTTAAGCTTTACAACTACATTGACAGTTTTCTTAGTACAGACTTCCAGGTGCCAGGGTGAGTCTTAGTGAAAAAGTTCCCATTTAAAATTACTCAGTGAATTTTCCTTTTGATTAAATAAAAAAATTGATTTTATTCCATTCATACTGACCATCTAAGCATTATTGTAAAACACTATACAAATTCCAGGACATTTTCAAAAAGCAAACAGCTTCCAACACTGTTACCAAGCTTTGGGCAAACCATCTCAATTGTGGAAGGTTTTAAGCAGTTGGAACCTCCATTTTCTTCAAATATAGATACATGTAAAGTCTTGCTCAACCAACAGAACAAAACTCACCTCTTCCTAAGACACAAATAGCCATTAAATTTGATGAATAATAAGTAGAATGGAACTTCAACAGCTCTTGCCTTACATCTATTCCTTCTTTGGTTGGTCTAGTTTCTAGAGTGAGTTTGTTCCCTGTAACATGAAAAGAAGTTAATAATACTTGATGTTCATGAATGTAGAGATCAAAAAGGAAAAGAAATAAATCAGTCTTTAAAATTAGCAATTTAAAAAACAATCAATATGCATAATTAGTAAACTGGATCAAATATTTTGTCTATATTCCTCACCATCTGAAGACAAATTAAATGGTGAAACCCTAATGTGTTTATGCCCACAGCACCAATACACAGGTTAAAATAAAATAACATACATCAAAAGCATAAGTTCAGTAACTGTGCTGTTACAGTACTGGAGTACATGATGAAGCAACAGTCAGAAGACACCTTGTAGATGCAGAAAAATGGACACTAGACAGTGCAGAAGTGCCTGAGAAATTACTCAACACTGCTGAGAGAACTGATGGAGCAGAATTACCATCACAGGCACTAATTCAAGGAGATCAGTGAAGGATATCTGGGGACAAAATGCACATCCAAACAAAAAACTGAAGACTAAAGTGCATTTGTTTCTATGGACAAACAGAGAGTAATAGGTTTGCTGACAAAACAGGCTGCACAGCAACAAGAAGTGACCTGAAGCATCAAATGGAGTCATTCCTGCATTCAGATGGATTAACAACATCTCAGCTGCTCAAAAGGAAACAGCAAAATGCCAAATGCAACTGTCACAAAAACCGTATCACAGCTGTCACATCTTTGGGAAAATAAATCCAGTCAAAGCTGAGCTCTACTTCTGCAAAGTCTTATCTACAGGAAGGCATTGTGCCTTCCTGTATAACTTTATTTTGGAATCAGAGTCTGACCCAAGAAGAGGTGAATATGATTACTGTTGTTGAATTTGAGCACATTTGGGGTATTCTCCCCATGAAAAGATTTCACTTGTGCCAACTAGACAACCTTCTTAAAATGCAGAAAACTACTTCTGTAATTGCTATTTTCTGAGTGCTACATAAAAATTAAATAACACAGTCACAGGTGCTTAAATTGTTACTAAGCATTCTGTGAATAATTAAGCCTGAACAAACAATTAAGCTGTAAGACTGGGATTTGTTCAAGATCATTTTATTTATCCATCTCCTACTGTTGCGCTTCATGCTTAAGATTTTGTTTCTATATTCCTACTCCGCCATTTCCACATTACTCTGCTGATGTTTCTGATTTGACCTAGTCACTACCATCTAGTCTAAATGCAATACTAGCTAACAAAAAGAGCATATGGTTAAAACAAATTAAAACACAATTCATTCACTTTGTTATGACCAAAGACTTAACAGTACCAAATTATGACCAATTCAGTAACTGGCAAAGAGTTACTACATTTGGACAAACTAGAGTTACTAATTACTACAGTAATTAACAGAATCATAAAGGTTGCTTAATCACTGTACTCCGAATCTTGGATCACTGTGTTTCCTATGGTTTTGTCAAGCTGTTTGGTCTACCATGTGCAAAATGTGATAAAGCACATAATAAACACGTATGGGGGGGAAAAGAACTGTTTCAGTCTGTCTTTAGCAATTTTGTATAAACAATAATACTATGTATGTTACACAGAACTCCAACAGATAATTATATTCTGACAAACCTGTTCCAAATTTACTGAAGGGATGATTGGGGTTTCCAGTAGCCTTCTCCAATTGAAATAACCTCCAGGCATCATTCATCAGATTCTTCTCATGCTCAGAATCAACAGCATTCACTTCCCTGTCTTTGCAGCTTTCATCAAACAGAGGGCACAGGAAAAATTGGGCAAATCTAACAAGAAAAAATGTAATTCAAGAGCACTGTAAAGAAATTGTAACAGAAAAGTATGAAGCTTGGTACCTCCTGAAATACATTATTTTAGAATGCAGAACTTACAAATTCTTTAACAGTTTTGACACTGATCTTTACTTGTCAGTTTCTCAATTATGTACAAATGTAGGCAACAACACATTCAGCCTGTAAGGTAGTACAAGAATCCAGGTCCCTGCATCACAACCCACACACTGAAAATTTCTACTGTCTTGAAGTTTAGCTGCAAGAGGCTCTAAATCTTGCAAATCAAGTAAGTCTTGTCAGACATCCAGGGAGGAGTCAAAGGGAAAACTCACTCTTTACCTCACTGACTACACACCTTTCTATTTCTGTTCCTGCCCCAAAACAGAGATTTCAACAAGTTCCCTTTATTAAGATAATATAATTAACATATTTCTAGACTTGACCCTCCTTTTACTGTCAGTGAACTAAGGATCCCATGGGAAGCACAGTTTTTGATTATACAATCACAGGATTTGCACAGTGTGTAAATTCATGATCATATTCTGTGCCCCACATTTCCAAAAATAGTCAGTGTAAACACAATTACACTTCAAAAATTATGCCTCAGTGAAGAACTCTGCCAGCTGAAAAAAATCTGAGCAAGACTTCTGAACTGAAAAACAACTGGTTATCAGTTTTAACAAGAGACAGTGTTCTCAACCTTTTTTTCCATATCCTAACCATAGAACTACCAAAAAAAATTTTACACTAATTCAAGCAGAATCTATATAACAAAAATTTAAATACTAAAAGAACATGTTTACCTGTCTAGTGCACCTTCTAGGTGCTCATGTGACACATCAAAGTAGTAGTTGGTATGTTCCCCACTGGTGAAAGCATTTGAGCTCCCAGCGTGCTCACTGAGGAACTGGCTATACTCATTCTCTTTTGGGTACTTCTTGGTTCCCAGGAACAACATATGCTCACAGAAATGACTAAGCCCAGCAATGTTGGGGGGATCAGACAAGGATCCTGCAGGGAGAAAAATTTCACGTAATCATTCATAAAAAGCAACACTAAAAGTCTTTGAAAGTGCTCCATATTACAGTATGTTGCCTCAGGCAATGATATCAATTCTGTAGCTGTAAGTAGACACTTGTGCAACTATAGTCAACTAAGCTCAGTCTTAAAAAAAGCATTTTAAAGAATTAGCATTAGTAACTGAACCAATTAGTGTCTCAAATTGCCTCTCCAGATCAGCCTGCACTTCCTTATTGAAACAATTTTTCAACTGAAGTCCATGACTCATAATCTGCAAAGACCTGGCAGATCACTCTGTTCTGAATTCTATACCTTAGTAACAGCACTGTGTTACAAGGCAGCAATTGCCAACCACAATTAAGGAGGTATTTATCTAAAGTTTACAGGACAAGTCATAACCTGTAATTGCCTGAACACAAGCAGCTATGGATGACCAGCTCGTAGGTGCGAAGGCAGAGAGATTAAAAGACAATAACGCTTTCAAAGAATGGGAGCCAGAAACATGGAAGTTTGAGTCTGGCAGTCCTGCTCTGGAACGTGCAAGGGGAGAGCAGAGATGAAGGTAACAGACACATCACCTCCAGTCCATGTGCAGGAACTGGATGATGCAGTTGACTATCACTATCACAGTAGCTAACCAAAATCATACAGGGACACTCTGAACTAGACAATGATCTGGGACACCTTCATAATAATGAAAGCCAGAAGTTTACAAAGGCACTGCATTACTTCTGCCCTCACACCAACAGCAGCAAGAGCTCCCAACTACAAACATGGCACGAGGATGCTTAGGCTATGTGCACATGCATCACACTCTGCAAGCAACAGAGAAACTACACAAGCTTGAGAAATACCTCAGACAGAAGAAAAGGCTTCCATTATTCCAGAGGGTCAAAGTAAATACCTTCCCCTTCTATTTCCAGTATTTCTGTCTGCACACTTAAGCATCACTGGAGTCAGGGAGTGCCTCTCCAACTTCTCCAGCACTACAGCATTTTCTCACCTCTACACATCAACAACTTAACATGAAAAAAACAGTCTGCCATGACAGATGGAGCTGTCTGAAATAATTGCACTCACACACACCCCTTTTCTACTTACAAAAGATCTTTCATAACATGAAACTTAATGGTTAAAAGCAGCCTTTTCACTGACTGAGCTACACTTGAGTTAACACAGAATACAGTAAGACCATTTAAATAGCTCTAATAATTTTCAACTTGATGTGTCGAAGAATTAAACAAACTCTAAATTACAATGAAAGGCTAAGCTGCCAGCTGCACACCACTCCTGTCAGTTTACTTGCAATCAAGAGACCAAAACCTTGAGCATTCTTATTAACGGCATAGTGAATACAACAGGAATTAAATACCTATGTGCACATCAAGTGCTGCTGAAGACTTATCTGTGGTGGGGTCACTAATGAGAAGAGCTTTAATGCCATTTGCCAGCTCCAGCCCACGATATTCCCGTTTATCCTCAGGTGATTTGATAATTTCATTAGTTATTCTCTTAATAGCTGGATTGTTCATTTTGTTGTTTGTCTCCTTCTGAAACCTTAAAGAAAACAGAAGAAATTTCACTTATTATTTTCACTTCAGCCTTGCAAATAGTTTGATATTGTGTTAGACAACACTGACAGCAAGAAGTTCTGCTCTGCACAAAACTCATTCGTCTAAAAGTATAGTTCAGATCCTGAGAGATAATGCTAATAAAACAAAACCCAAACCTGAAGACCAAGAGTCATAGAATCACAGAATTTTAGGGGTTGGAATGTACCTTACCCCCCTGCCGTGGGCAGAGACGAGACACCCCTAGACCAGGCTGCTCAAGGCCTCATCCAACCTGGCTTTGAACACTGCCAGGGCTGTGGCATCACAACCTCCCTGGGCAACCTGTGCCAGCGTCTCAAGTAACACGTCATGTAATTTAATGTCTCAAATATCATACTGGCAATTAAATGTTAATGAAAAAAAACCCTTAATAAATAAATGTCATCCCCTTACAGATTATGATAAAAATGAAATTAAATGCAGCATACATTGCTGTCTCAAGTATAACTTTGAGCTTCAGTTAAGTACTTCATGTGTCTGAATTCGTGGTTATATTATGGTTGTTGTAACTTTGTGACTGTGTGGCAAATAAAATGTTACTAATAAACCCCTGGATTTGTAGACTCAAGCAAGATATGGTAACACTGTTTGCAATATTGCCATAAAAACCCAAACACTGCAGAACTGCCATGACAAACAGGAATAGACAGTCTCAACACGTTTAAACTTCTACTATTAACAGATGCTTCAAGACACGCTTCTTTCATGGCACAATTTCAAAATGCTAAGAAACTAAATGTGATTCTGAAATCATAAGCTCTTGGGTTTTAGTTTTCTTTAAATGTCAAATGAAAAGGTGACACATTCAGACCTGAATATTTGTGGAGGTAGAGTGGAACCCCTTGACTGCATGTTAAAAAATAAAACCAACCAAAAAATTCCAAAATACCCACATAAATGAGAAACAGCAACACAAAAAAAAAATCCCAAACCCCAGTGAGGGAAATGGGAAAGCTGTGCTCTGAGCCAGCCACGTGGTGGATTCCTGTATGTAACAGCTACTGAATTCTAGCTCTGTTTGACCGGAAGGGGTTTACAACAGAGCCTGTTTTAAATACAAAGTACCAACAAAACTGAATCTTATCCCGTGGTGAAACATTGCTTACCATACTGCTGAGTCATTTACCACATGAGCTTCATTAGATATTACTGAATTCACTTCACTTAAACCAGATCCAAGCCCTAACTCCACATCACAACACACACAGAGGCACGAGAAACTCTGTATGGTCCTGTGGTATCACATAGATAACAAGGAGTTCTCCAATATTGACTTTTCCATGTTCCGGCTCTATGATTCAAGGAACTTCATTCAAGTTTTAAGACTACATATAAGCTTTAGGACCATAGGGAATGTGCAACTGCAAAGTTCTCAACACATCGATTCTTTCAAGTCTTCCAGCACAGCATTTTAACTCTAGCTAGCAAACCAACTGCATTCTCAATGGTACAGATACACCACAACAAACATGGAAAAGAAAATCTGATTATATCATTTATTTACAGTTTAAAATTACTAATGAATTCAGCTAATAAAATCTCCTGCCTGAAATACCCTATCATTCTCAAAGTGGAAAGCAGTTCTGGTAGCTCCTGCCCCTCTGGATCATCTGTCTCCTTCCCATTTATTCATGTGATGCTACAGCATAAAAACAACAGCCAACCTGAAGCAGCAGATGCAGAATCACTAGTGCCAGTGTTAGATATTATCATGAGGCTAACAAAGAGCTAATTAAGAGTATTTTAACTACAGGAAGTTTGTGAATATAATGACTACAGTAGAATGCACAAAATCCAATGTTCCACAAACAGAAAATTGAGTTTTTACCTGTAGCAGAGTGAAATTTTATTTCAGACTGGATTTATGTTTGTGGAAGGAGATACATATGTCAATGGCAGAAGATATTGTAGGGGGGGAAAAAGCAGCAAACATTAGATCTCTGAATACTTTTGAAAGAAGTAAAAATATTGCTTTGGAACTTTTAAATAGACTTCAGTTATAAAAGGTTATATGAAAGAAAGCCAAATTACACACAGGAATTATAATCCAAATAAAAAATAGAAGCACTGAGCATAGAAGGCATCGATGAATAATCAGAATCTGAATGTTTCTAATCAAAAGCCATAAACAATATAACTTTTTTAAAATGTGTAGTTCAATGCATTTTAGAAGGAAGCAGTTCCACTAGTAAAACATGGTTCTCACACTGTGAATGACAAATGTAATCACTAAACAGCAACAGAAATGCTGAATTTAAATTTATATGTCTACACTTTCATTTGAACCTGTCACTTATCCACTAGTTTAACCCTGAACTCAGGCTAATCCTGCTTGGAATACCTATAGGCATTTCCTCTGAAATAATGCAGATACCACTGAAATACAAGAATTACACCAAGTACCACATCTATGTTTCTCTGCATCAGTAGCACTGATACAAACCACACTAATGATTAAAAACTGCTTCCATGTTCAAAGTTCACAGCCCTAAGTAGAAATACCCTACTAAACTTAAGACACTGTGTAAAACTGATGAAGTGAGAATAGATACTGCTATGCTCTATACTACTAACATATGGAAATCAGTAACTAAACTGTTCCTAATTGTTTTTCCACTGGCATGCAAGTGATTTGCACGCAAGTTGGACTGACAAATGTAAGTATGTAGGAGAACAAGTAGGCCTCTGAATCTCCTGATTTCACATCTGCTAAGGAACACTCATAACTGGGTTTCCAGCTAGAATATTCTATCTCATGAAGACACTAGTTGCTTATCCTAAGATGCATATGTACTATAAGCTGCTCGAGTTGTGGGGTTCTGTAAATGTTATACAATTTCCTTGTCATCTGATACCTCCTTGTTATTTCTACACCACATCATTAAGTCACAGAACTTTACTGTTTGTTCAGGTGACTCATCTTTCCAACGTGATTCATCAAATTACGCAGCTCCTCTGAAGCCTTATGAGACTTCAATTGATGCCTTGCAAAGCTGTACACCTCCACTTCATTTGATTATTGCTCCCTACTTCTGCCTCCTTCACAGGCTACCTCCACCCTGGTAGTCAAATTGCAGTACAGGAAAAACCTACAATTTTCAAAAGGACACAATCAGTAATTAAGCCTTCAAACCTAGGACTTAACTCGTATCTCCATCTTCATTGTTATTTCAATGGGCACTGTGAGCACAACATTCTCTAACTTCAAACGGGTTTGCATCATTAACCTACAATTACTGTGCTGCCAACTGAATTGCAGCACCAGACAACTTGTATAAAAGCAAGGGCAGATCAACTAGGCAATACTGCTGGAAGGCAATATGTCAAAAGAACAAGGCCAATACCTTCCTGCTTAAGTACTGTTCCTCCTGGTGCTATTTGTTACTGCAATATGAAAGTGAGAAAATTTCACTTCTAGAGAGTTTTTGTACAATCACTTTTTCTTAAGGAGTATACTGCAATATATAATATTAAACATTCCCTCGTGGAACTGTTTTTCTGTGCAGCTTCTGTGCAATTGCTTTATAAGAATACCTTGTTCCATTCTTTCACACCAGGATCCTAAAACTCTACAAAACACTTTCTAACAATAGAACTGTGTTTGACCGTAAGCAAAAAAGTAATGAAATCAGAAAGAATTCTATATTTTTTGCTGTGCTTTGAGAAATAGCTTAACTTCTAAAGCCATGTTCAGACACTGTCCTGAAGCACCTACTTGCTATGCTGTGATTACAGTGAGCACCAGATGCTGATGGTCAGTAGCAAAAAGCAATTCAGCTACAAAGTAAATGCTTTATTGCAGAGCTAATATCCTAACAAAAGCATTAAAAGGAATATTGTCATACTACTTTCACAAAACAGAAGCAACAGAGAAAGATCCAATAAACCAAAGGCAGCAGGAACAAATATAAAGCATTACTGTGGTGCTAGAAATTCCTCCACTGGCTCAAAATTACAGGTGGCAAAATGGGAAAGGTATAAATAAAGAACAGGGATGTCTGAACTGAGAGCAGTGTCCTACTCAAGGTACAGGAAAGATTAAATATTCTTCCTCCTCATCAAAATTACTTCACTTGTACAAGAAAGCTATCAGTAAAAACCACCACTGAATTTTAAATTACAGCACTTTGAGGTGAAATTATATTCTATTTTTTGAGGTTCCATTTTTGTAATGATTTCCAGGCAGGCAGTCCCCTGGAACCAGCCAGGCTCTCTGGGGACGCCAGGTTTCACCTGCAAACAGACTATTACAGAGTGGGATTAAGTGGTATATGATTCTGCCTCACTATTTTAATCTCTCAAAAGTTATTTTAGTAAACTTACTTTAATTAAAAATTAGCCAGTGTAGTCAAACCTAAGTTCAGTGTTTGAACAATTAAAGGACCATATTTGAAAACCAATTAACAGAAACTCCTGAGGGTTGCTTCAATGCAAGAGTGTGTCTAGCTAATAAAAATATGACCCCCAAAGCACCAACTCCAAAGTGCTACTCAAGATTTTTGAAGTCAAATGCTGCTACACAGGCCTGAGCCAGATGAATGGCAACAAACAGTTACCATCTCAGCAGATTTTGATGATTGCTTTCCATTTACATCAGTTGCCTTAAAATTTGGGTTTGCTTGAAGCTTTTATGCCACTTAATTGCTTACCCTTTCCCAGAGTGAAGGGAAACCTTTGTTGAGTCAGAGTCTCTTTCCGTTCTGCCCTGCAAGGGAGACACCACTGGGAATGTGTTCTCTGTACTATTTACTAATCCATCTTGGTTTATGTGAAGATTTCTCCAGCTGCCAATGCATGGAGTGAAAGAAGTGCTGTGTGCTCTGGCAGGAGGCCCAGTGCTGCAGAGTACCAGCCAGAGTTCTCTCACCTCTCTTACAGGAAGGATAGCACTGAACCGAACACTCTAGAGGAGTCTATGAACTTCTTCAGTTGCAAGCTCATGGC